GATAAAAAGTTCTGTAATGGTGACTGTGTTCATTGGTATCCATTTTTATTCCCTCTTTCATTTTACAGTAACGCATTCTCATTAAATCTGATTTATTCCAGGCATGCAACTTTGGTTCAAAATTAACCCATTAAGGATCTAGGCCAGGTGGTGCAGACCTGTAATTCTAGCATTCTGGGAGGGAGGCAAAAGGATTGCAGGTTCAAGCCCAGCATGCATGATTCAGTGAGTCCTGTCTCAAAAGAAAGCAGGGAAGGCTGGGCATGCAAGGGCCCTGGGTTCAGTCCCATGTACCCCTTCATGATTAGCCCGTTAACATTGATAGCATAGGCCAAATTAATGTCAAACATCATTATTAATGATGGAAAACGAAGTGATGATTATTTCCATGGAGGCTGAAAACACTTTGGACGAAATCCTACACCTATTCATGGGATAAGCACTCAAGAAAATAGTAGGAATTAAGGGATACATCTTAGCATGATGAGATAGATAGATAGATACATAGACAGATGGATAGATCCTTAGTCCTCTAGTTAGAGTCTTGTTTAGAGAACACAAGTGTCATTTCTATTGAGATCAGTGATAGACAGACCCCCATCAACTCTGCTAGAGGCATTAACCAATGCAGCTATGCAGGAGAAATCAATTAGAAGCATAAGAAGAGGTTAAAAAACAAGTAAAACTGTCCCTACCAAGGAGGAAAATACATGATGACGCCTCTGTAATTTAAACTGTGTGGCATACTTCCTGAACTGGCAAATAGATAACAGAAAGTCCAGAATTAGACCCAAATGTGTATGGACATGTAGTACATGAAGGAAGTTTCTCAGGTCATTGAGGTAAAGGCAGACTTTAATAAATGGTGCTGGGACAACTGAATGGCCATTCAGAAAAAGTTAAACTTCAGTGTGTGTCTCACATTGAACGGAGAAGTAAACTGCATGTGGATTAAGGCCAAACTGCAAATGAAGATCCAACTACTGAAAGAAAACACAGGGGGCCGGGGATTTAGCTCAGTGGTGCCGCTGCCTGCCTCACAAGCACAAGGACCTGAGTTTGATCCCTGGTACCAAAGGGACAATTGCTTCCATGTTTTCTTTGACATAGTTTGTTTAAAGATAAATATCCAATGTAGCTAACAGTAATGCATACAAATCCTTCATATTTAAAATCTTGGATTTAGCTCAGTGGTGCCACTGCCTGCCTCATAAGTCTGCCTCTTAAGAACAAGGACCTGAGTTTGATCCCTTACAAAAAAAAAAAAAAAAAAAAAACCCAAAAATGAAAAATAGGTTATTTCTTCCTGAATCTCAGGGTCAGGAAAGTCTTTTTAACAATGACTCAGGATCCAAAGGCAATAAAATAAAAGATTGATCATTTTTAGTACATACAATTTTTAGACATTTTTTGAAAAATGAATCACAAAATACCTTACAGACAACAGACTGGGCGGGATATATGGCTCAATAGTGACATGCACAAGGTCCTAGCTTCAATCTCCAGCACCCAAAACAGTCAATAAACTATGTACTTGGCAAACTGAGAGAAAATATCTTATAACATAAAAGCAATACACAAAGGGCAGAAAGTTGTATAAAGTCCTGGTGTAGAAAGGACTCTCAAATATCAAGAGATCAAAACCTGATAGAGGCCAGGGATATAGCTCAGTGGCACCATGCCTGCCTGACAAGCTCAAGGTCCTGAGTTCGATCCCCAGTACCTCCAAAAAATAAACCTGATAGAAAGGTAGGAATACAGATGCTAACAACTCACAAAATAAGATACAATGGTGACTCTCAAACTCATTGATAGTAAAGTATTTAAAACAAAACTGTGAGCCCAGCATGATGGTGCATACCTGTAATCCCTGTGGCTCAGGAGGCTGAGGCAGGAAGATTGCAAGTTCAAGCCTAACCTGGGTTACATAGTGAGATTCTGTCTCAGAATTTAAAAATAATAAAAGAGCTAGGGATATAGCTCAGTGCAAAGCCCTGGCTTCAGCTCCCAATACCACAAATAAATAATTAAAACATGTGATACTATTTCTCACTTGTCAGACTGGAAGATGTTAAACACCAGGAGGAGGATAGGACATTCAGACACTTCTGGTGGAAAATTGGTCTAGCTTTTGGACTGGACATGTGGTGATACCTAGCAAAAAAACTACATAGAGTGGTGCCTTGCTTGGTTCACGAATTTAATTTGTTCCACAATTTTGGAAAAGATGGCCATATTTATGTTTGTTCAAGAAAGATGATCACAGTTGTGTTTGTCACCTGTTGTAAAGTGTGCAAACAAACAAATTTTCACAAACCAAAATTTCACAGAACCCAATCATTCACAAATGAATGCATTCGTGAACCGAGATTCTACTGTGCACACTTACCTTTCAATTCTGCAGTCCCACTTTTAGCAATCTTCTCTGAAAGTATACTTTTCTTTTATACAAAAATATAAGTATACAGGGTTACTCATTGCAGCACTGAAAATAACCTGACTGACTCAAGGAAATAGGTGAATAAATGATGGTAACACCCTCCAATAGGGGTACTACACAGCTGTGAAAAGGAATGCTAAAGCTCTCAGTGAACTGATAAAGAGACTTCTAGGACTTACAGATGAAAGAAACAAGGCACACATGCTGCCTTTTGTAGGAAAGACACGAAAGATACCCCTTGTTGTCTATTAAAGTGTATATGTGTGTGTGTGTGTGTGTGTGTGTACACACACGTGCACATTCATGTGTGCACCAGAGATGCAACCCAGGGCCTTGCACCTGCTAGGAAAGTGCTCTGCCACTGAGCTCCAGTCCTGGTCCTGGCCTCTTGAATACACCCTGCTTCCTCTCAGAGGCTCCTCTCCACTCTGCTCATGGATCTAAGCAGGGCCAGGTACCCTGTGCTGCCCCAGTCGGAATGGTGGCTTCTGCCGCTGTTGGCCCTGAGCTCATCCCTTCAGCCTTCTGGACTTGACATCCTCTTCTTTGAGACTGGGATTATGAATCCCACATCACTTGTTTCACAGATGGGAGGCGGGGAGGACGTGTGACAATTAGTTCATGTACGCATAAAGGGCTTTGCTTGCTGTGCGATAAAATTTTATTTGCCATTTACATATAAGATCTGCAAGTTGCTCTTTGGGCCTTCCATGAGTCCTGCTTTTCTAGTCCCTTGTCACACACACACACACACACACACACACACGTGCGCGCGCGCACCCCTCCATTCACTGCAGAGCTGTGTCAGATGCTGAGAGGACTGCTTCGCTTACTGTCACCTTGGCAGTAAGAGTCCATCCAGCTGCCCCCCCCATATACCACGGGTACCGCAGGCCCTCTGAGACATGGGCCTTCATCCCACTGAGTGCATAGGGAACACTGCCAGCCTTGCTCTGCGCCCATGTTGGTCATTTTGCATGTGCTGTCTGCTTTGGTCCTTGTGACCCTGGGAAGAAGGAAGATCTTGGCACAAGAGTGCAAAGTGTGGGGCTTGGATGAGCGAAGTGACCTGCCCAGATCTCCCAACCTTTAGTGCCAGAGCCCAGTCTGTGTGGTCAGTGCTCCTTCCATGAGCCCACCCCGTACCCACTCTCCAGGGCAGGGGCCAGTCTTCACCCCCTGTGCCTCCCTCACATTCCATAAGGTGCTGGATGCTGGAAAGGGCAGCAGAACGGAAGTTCCCACTTGGGGGTCTTCACCTCACTCCCATGGACTTCTTTTCCAAGGCTTCTAGGGAATTCTAGAGCTCATGGGGCAGGAGGCGCCATCCTCAGCACTTTTCAGGCACTGCAGCCTGATAGACTCCCAGTGATGGTCAATCTTTATCATTAACTAGATTGGCTTGAGAGATGCCTTGGAGATTAAGCCGCAGAGTGAGTGGGTCCTGGGGGCTTGACCTTGGGGACTATATCTGGCTTCTGCCTCCTTTCTCTTGGGCTCTTCTGCTGCCCTCTACTTCCTGGATCTCATGAGCCAGACAACTTTGCTCTGCCTTGCCCTTCCGCCATGCTGTTTCTGTCTTGGAGCAGCCAATCACAAACTAAAACTATAAGCCAAAATAAAGCTCTCCTCCTTTAAACCTCACATGTCAGGTATTTAGTCCCAGCAACAACCGAAAGGTGACTGATAAACCCTTTAGTGGGGCAAATGAGGGTACAGTGTTCCTTTGGTTTGGGTGACAGCTGGCATGAGAATCAGCCTCAAGGCATCTCTGGCTTTCCTGCCATCTCCTCATGTCAGGGTGATACCTATGCTCATGGCCCCGTGGTGTCTCCAGGGTGAGTGTTTCTTCTGCTCCTCTTTTACAGCTGGAGGAGCTGAGGCAGATGTGGGGAGAGAGGGACCAGCCTGAGTTACCTCCTAGAAGTGGTGACTTTGCTCTCTGATTTTTCACACACACCAACACTTTTCCACTCTTGCTGTGAGTTGGTGACTGAGAAAGATTAAGAAGAGAAGCATTCATCCTGAGAGGGTACCCTGTTTCCTCTCAGCAGGGCACTAGAAGCAGTGACTAGTTCTGACTGTGCAGAGAGAGTAGGGAGGTGTACCTGTCCCTCAGACGAGAGCTCACCTTCATTCTGTGGCTGAGAGGGAAGCTGCTGATCCCAAACATTGAGCAAAGCTGAAACCAAGTGAGCTGCACTGTACCACAAAGGTGGAAATCAGGGCTGAGCCAGGGCAGGCCGGTGGCCAAGTTAGAAATCGATTTCAGTAGTCGCTCTGCTCTGCCTAGTGACCTGGTGACCCGGCTTGCCTCTCCCTGGCAGGCACATTCTAAAGACACCAGGCAACCTTCTCTCTGCCCACTCTGCCCTCTGTGCCTATCAGGTCTCTGGCCCTGGATACCTGGGCCACCGCTCCATTCCGAGTGTCATACTCCCGCTCTGGATGTTCCGGTGGGGGACAGCTGGGGCCAGCCTTCCCTAGGAGGGAAATTCCAGATCCCACCAAATTCCAAATTCCATGGCCTTATCTGGCACCATTCTGTCTGGCCTTTGATGGGCTCCCCAGTGAGAGGAAAGGCTTCCCCTAGCCTGCTCCCTGGGTGTGTCCCAGGCTTGAACCCTAGCTGGAACACATGAGTTATTTACAGGGAGAACAACAGGCAACTGGCATTTGGAGGTGGAAGGACAGTGGACTTCACAGTAGCCAGTAAGCTCCACAGGGAAGTCCTTGTCCTGTTTAACCCTTTCAGAGCTGAGATGCCACATTAAAGCAGATTGCTGCCTCAGTTTCCCCATCTGTTAAATCAGGTGGGTGGACTAGTGTGAGCTCACATTCCTTACAGCCTTCAGCTGTATGTTGTCTAAAGTCCCCTGAGCCCAACAGCCTGTGGAATTTCCTGAGGGACCGAGGGGGCGGCTGTGATAACCACTGGCCTGTCCCAAGCATTTCCAGGCCATCCAGGCGCCCTAAACATAGTGGGGTGTCAGGTCAGCAAGAGTGTGGGTTCTGCGCTCTCAGGGAAGAGCTGTGTTTCCCACCTCAGTGAGTGTGCCCCTTCTTGGAGTGCTGTCCCCTGAACTTGGCATGGCAGGCTCCTCCTTATCCTCCAGGTCTCAGCTCAGACATCCCGTCCTGAAAGAGCACCTCCCTGGCCCTATGCCTCTTTTACTTCTCTACTATTCTCAGGATTATTGTGTGTACCAAACATACATGTTTGCTGGCTTAGAACCTGGGCCCCCATGCCAGGAGGGCAGGACCTCACCATGTATTCCATAGTGTACCTCTGCTGCCCAGAGCTGCATCCAGTGCAGAGTGTGCCCTCGGTGAACGACCAACATTGTACAGAAGAGTCAGGTTTTGGAGATCTGGGCCAGGCTTGGACGCATGAGCTTGGACAAACCACCCCAGGTAATTCTAGGTTTCCGTGTTTCTCAACTTTAACTGAACAATAGATCTAGGTGCACTTGGAGGGTCTGACTCAGTGGGTTGTAAGGCCAGATGTGGGCATTGGGATCTTTCAGTTTTCTATTGCACAGCTAAGGTACAAGACCCCGGAATCAGGTGATGTCTAAGGCCTCTCTGATCCCAGATTCTGCCATTCCTGGACAGCCCGACAGAGTTAAGCCAGTACGTGTTCCACATGGCAAACTGGATTCCATTGGGATGTTCATCTCACCAAAGCCTACTGGGAAAGTGAAACCCTTGTAGATGAGTGGGGAGTCTGTGGCTCCTCTCTGATGACTTCCTGGGCTGGTGGCTCTAGGCACCTCCTTTTCCTGGCAAGACAGCTGAGCTGTGTAGGAACCTGTCTCCTCTTCCCCTGATAGCGCACGGTTTTAAATAAGATCTTCATTTACCAGAAGTTCACACCACAGCTTCTGTGTTATATGAGAAGTAGCAATCTTGTGCTCATGGGGGAATGCTGTTCTGAGTGGGGGGGTGGCTGGAGGGCGGGAGCACAAGGGAGGAAGAACTTGCAGAATCAGAGCTGGTGGCCCTGCCCCAGCCCTGGCAGTGCCAGGCTCCTCTTGGCTCAGCACGTGTATGTTGGGGGAGGAATCACTGCTCTGCGAGCTGACCTCAGGCCACGGGAAGGCTTGGAGCCTGATGGCGTTGTGACATCACCACCAGTTCTGCCAGTTGGCACCCCCAGCGTTATGCTGGGTCATTTACATATCGTCGGCCTGTTAACAGGGGGCTCTTGCTGCTGATGTATTAGTTTCCTTCTGGCTTCCTTGGAAGCTGTGACAAGAAAGGGATTTGGTGATCACAGGCAGACATCCGTCCCCATCCTGCCTCTGTGTTTCCTGGCCCACCCCATACACTCAACTCTGCCTGCACCTGGCTGGGACTGGCAGGCAGGTCAGTGTCACATCTCTAAATGTGGTCTAGGGTATTTTTGCTCCCGTGTATCTCTTCTGATGGCCTGAAAGCTGACAAATCAAGGATCAAGGACCATTTGCCCTGTGACCTTGAGCTAGACTGCTTCTGCCTCGGGCCTCTGTTTCCCAGAAGATAAAACAAGAGTTGGCTTTGGCTTTGTTCGGGAAGGCGGGGCCTCCAGCTTTCCCTTGCAGGTTTTCTAGTGCATCCTGGCTATGAGGAGGTGGGGGAAGGGGGTCCTGCACCAGCCCCATCACAGGGTCTGTGGAACAAGGCTGATGTGCTTGTAATAAATACTGAGCTGACAGATGCTAAGCCGCATCCCCAACCTATGAATAAATAAAAAGTTGCCCAGAATAACAGCCCGGAAAAGCTGGAGGCTCCAGCCAGCCCTCACCTCTGCCCCTCCCTCTGGCCAGGCCTGTTCACCTACCGCATCTTACTCCCTTCCCTCCCCCAGAACCTGGTCTATCTCTCCAACTCCAGAGGTGGCTGTTGTCCCTGCCCAGCTTTAGTTTATGGCTCCACAGCCTACAGAATTCCTCCTACCCACCCACCCTCCAGCTGCCATAGCAGCTAATAAGGACCAGCCCCTGCAGATGACAGCTGGGGGACAGGCCAGCCAGGCCCTCCTGGGGCTGGGGTTGGGACACTGGGGAGCATGCTTTTAAAGCCCAGCCCAGCCAGCCAGAAGTCTGCCCTTCTCTGTCAGAACCCTTGCTGGCATTTCCTCCTCTGTCCCGCCATAGATAAAATGGTCACTGCTCTTGGCTGAGGCCATCAGGAAATTAGGATCAGCACCCACACTGCTGGCCCATGGATGTCCCATGATGCATGGGCACACTTTTGAGTTTCTTTGACTGATGTTTTGTGAGTATACGTGTTTCCCGGCTCTCCTCGCATTACAGTTCTGCCTTCTCAGGGGCGGAGCCCCAACTGTTAGGTCAAGTGTAAGTCACAGAATATTAGAGCCGAAGACATTGCCCCTGTTTTATAGGCGAGGAGGCTAAGGCCAGGGGTGATGGGGAATTGAGCACACTTGCCCAGGATCACACAGCCAGAAAGTAACAGAACCTGGATTTGAACCCAGATCTAGGGCCTGTGTCCTTGACCCCCCACTTGACACTGCTTTGGGGCTTTTGCTAGGTCCCACATAGACAAGGCTTCATCCACAGTCCAGGCCAGGGAATCCATACTGTGAGGTGCTGTGGTTTATGGACCGCGTTGAGGCCCCCATCAGAAAATCTGCTTTCCACTCTGAAAAGGGCCCCTGTCATGCCCCGGGCAGAACATGCCCTTCCCTCATGGTATTTTCTAGATGTTATCTGTATGATACCTGCTGTCTGATGCCTGTTGCTCCCTGAAGGTAAAGGCTCCGAGCTGGAGCTGGTCAAAAAACCTGGCCAGAGTCTCAGGGATCCCAGGGAGCACAGCCAGTTCAGGTTCCTCCTCCGGGGGTGGGGAGGACCTTGGCCCCCTCCCCTCTTCTGTTTGTAGGGGCCCCAGCCCAGTGTGAACATATCAGGGAGATCTGCTCTGAGAGCTGACCAGAGGGGCACCCAGGCCTCCTCCTGGAAGGCCAGAGTCCTTCCTGTCTGGTCCAGAACCAGCCACCCCTCCCCCACCTCCCCTGGGCCCAGGGGGTCCCCTCCACCCTCCCAGGCTGCAGATGCTGGCCCTCTAGCAGGACTCCCTGCCCCACTGCTGCTGCCTCTGACATTCCGCCCTAGAAGATAAGGATCCTGTCTGGCGCCTGAGTGCTTTTTTTCCCTCCTTCTTTCTGAATCTGTTCTCTGATTATCTGCAGACAGCCCCTCACCAGGGGGCCACCAGGGAGGGGGCCCAGACCTCAGAGAGACAGGAGGGGTGTGACCAAGAGAGGCCCAGCAGCCGACCGCCCCCACTGGCCAGGCCTCCACCCAGCGCCATTTGCTAAGCCTGAGCCAAGCCCCCAGCTCAGTGAAGAGCTGAGGACTGCTTTCCCTGGGTCGGACCGATCCACTTCAAGTGGATATGTGGCCTGGGGGCCGTGCCAGAGTGGGCCGGGATGGGGACAGAGGGTGGGGTCACTTCCGTGGTCAGCGTTCCTCAGCCCTGGGCCTGGACTGTGCCCAGAGGGGATGTGGTGGAGGCTGAGCCAGACAGACAGGCCACATCCTGTGGGAGACACTGGCCCTTCCCAGGCCAGATGGGGATGGAGGACAATTAGGGATGGAAATGGGGTTCTGGGGACTCTCAGCCCAGCCTGCAGCTCTGGGGACTGATCCTGAGGATGGCCAGGGCTGCTGTAGCCCCTGACCTCAGCGAAAAGGAGAAGCTGCTCTTCACTAGCTGTGCTGAGACCAGCATCTCATTTAAGCGTCATGCAGACGGGGGGACCAGTTTAGAACGGAAGGGAACACCCTTACCTCTCCCACTTGCATGGCACAATCTGTTCTTTGTATCTTGGAGTCTGCACTGTGGCCCTTCAGCACTGCACTTTGGGAGCCCTACATTCAGGCCCATGTTCTACCTAACATGCTGTGTGACTTCGCACAAGTTCCTGTCCCTCTCTAGGCCTGAAACATATAGGCTGAGAACCTGAGGGGACAGCATGGGAGCAGGAGGGAACAGTGGAGTGATAAGCCCACAAAAGGGTGATTTCCCAGGCTTTTCAAATGTCCTGGGGTTGTTGGGAATGTTCATGAGATATTGGCTTGTAGTAGATGCCATGTAAATAGGAGCCCAGCCCTAGCCAGGGACCCTGGCTCCCTCCATGGCTGTTCAGACACTGCAGACTTTAAAAAGGACCCCACACTTTCCCTGCCCCCAACCCCCCACACCCTAAAAATCCATTTGGGGGAAGGGAAGCGATGATGCAAGATCATTTTTTATGGCTTCCTGGCCCCAGAGCCAGAGGCTGAGGATCAGGTGGTGCAGACTAGATTCCTGGGCCTCCCCCTTGGAGCCTTTCAGCTCGTAAATATGCAGCCCGGGGCTGGGAGGAGCTGGCCGTTAAGCTGTCAGCACAGCGCCCACTTTGTCTTAGAGTGCTTCTGAGAGCTGGGTCCAGGGCTTCCCCGCACCATGACCTCCCTACCTAAGCTCCCACTGGAGCCCAAGCCCCTCTGGCTTCCTCCCCAACCTCACTGTGAGCTGTGCTGTGGTTTCTCCTCTGTGCAAAGGAAGTCTGTTGTTCTTCTCCTTGGGGTAATGGATGGGGAGGCCCAGGCTCAGAAGCCCCTGAAGCTCTGGTGGCCTCAAGAAGCCAAGGGTGCCCTGCTCCTGGGAACAATGGGCCCCCTGCCCATGCATAGTCTCCTTCTCTGTGCCTAGATCCAAGGGAACCCAAAACTGCCCCCCCCCAGGAGCTCACAAGGAACTCATTCTGCTTAGGAATGAGAAGATGGATGCCCTTGTAAACAGAGTTCACACCTCTCCTTCAGCGGAGAGATCTCTGTGGCTGAGAGGCTAAAGGCTTTCCTAAGGAGTGTGGGTGGGGTGCTGAGATGTGAGTGGGACACCAGAAAAAGGCAGAAGTGGAGGCAGGTGGCCAAAAGGGCCTGCCCGGCATGGAGGAAGGCCTGGGGCCCAGGGTGGTTGTGGAGCACAGAAGCCAAAGAGGGATACTTGATCCCTTTGGCTGTGAGAGCCCAGCAGCCCGTAAGCAGAGGCCCTCTGGAGACCAGGTCCACATTCCCCAAGGACCCTTTTTTCTTGGTCATCAATACTCATGGACAAGCTCTGGCAACAGACCAGCTTCAGGTCCAACCCACCTCACTAATTGGCCAGGTTTCCCTGACAAATTATTTAGCCCATCTGAGTTAGTCAATTTTCTTCAACCACAAAGGAATTAATAGCAATCTGCCCAGTGACATGGTCATGAAATTTCAATGAGACTCTACAAAAGGAGCAGTCTCCCTCCTTGCTTAGAGATCTCTGGCAGCAGTAGCCTGGATTAGAAGCTTATGTCTGCTGGTCCTAATCACTGGCCCTTCCTGATCGCCCACCTCTTGAGATCTGTTTTCTCCCTGTAAAGTGGAGGTAAGAGCAGAGAGTATTCAGTGAATCCATACATGAAAGCCCTAGGACAAAGTCTGGCACATCCTGCGTGCCGCTTACTGTGTTCAGGGCAAAGTAGGTATGCGGTAAAGTCTGTGTTGGAAGCCTCCTGCCTCAGCTATGGCCTCCATAATGGAAGGAGCAGCTCTGTAGGGAGTAGGGATGCTCCTTACTGGGACTTCCTAAGTCCTTTTTTCTGTCTTTGGAAACATCCAGCTGGGTGGGGCTGGGGGAGAAGGGGTGGTAACACTGAACTGGGGAGGTGGGGAGAGGCTATTGTGGCCCAGGTAGTTGGGAACTGGGAGTCTCCTCTGTCTTCCAACCTTGCCTCATTAACTTCACCACAAATAGCCTGACCCCCTGTGACTCCCTCAGGCAGAAATCTGGGCCATTCAGAAACTGAGTAAGTGGGAGTTGATCATTATAGCTGAGAATGTAGTGGTCCCTGCCCAGGTGGACAGCCTGCTTCCTGTTGGACCCCAGCCTGCCTCCCTGTGAGATGGAGCTGCAGGCAGAACTCAGGTAGACCCTTCCAGAGTTTGGTCAGGGCCAAAGAAGCAGAACTGTGCGTGGGTCATTCCCCAAGGCTGCTGTGCCTTTGCAGCAGGGAACTTCCTGGCTGCCATCACCCCATTCGCAATGTTCAGCCTTGCCCATAGACCTAGTGGCAGACAGGCACCCCCTCCATGCTGTCTTTTGGTGTCTCCAGTCTCTCCCATGTGTCTCCCATGTCCACCCAGGCTTTGGAGGGAAGAGTCTGGAGCTCCTTGTGCTCAGACCTGCAAATTGAGGCCTGCTAACTCTGTGCTTGCTCCCCTCTCTGGGGCTGCCCTGGTCTGGTGGTGGGGATGGTGAGGTCAGGTTTGAGTGGTCTGTGCTCCTGTCACCCTAAGCTCACCCTCTGTCTCTAGGGAGCTTGTGACCCAAGGGCAGCCAACTGCTTCCCTCCATTAACTGGGTACCCAGAGCTTCTCTTCTAGTGGTCAGCAGGGGTGTTTGGGGATTATGAGATGAAAATGCTCCCACAAAAACCTGGCTGTGGGGAAGGGGGTCCCTGCTGAGCCAGAGGCCATACGCAGGGAATGAATGAGGCAGAGGAGAAGGGAAGGGCAGCAGGCTGTGGTTCTATCAGTTAGCAGCTCCTTGCACCAACCCCTGGCAGGTCTCTGTCTCATGTTCCCCACCCCTAGCAGTTGTACCTCCTAGAGGGCTATGAGGGTCTGTGGGAAACAGAGTGCCCGCCGTGCTCTTCCCTATGCTGACTTTAGGATTTGGTGCATGGCAGGACAAAGCCTGGCTGGAGTAGCCCATGCCTCTTGTAAGATCGTGGTGCCCTGGGCAGTGGGCAGCAAGCCCCTGCTGAGTGAGTAGGGCCCAGGTGGTGGCCAGTGTCACAGGGTTCCCATTGTCCCAAAGCCCAGATTCCTCAGGCCAGTGTCCCAGATGTCTGTCTCCTGAGTTCTGTGTGAGCATGCACAGACCTGGACTGGGCAGGGCCATGTTGACTCTGGGCACATAAATTGCCAGGCCTGCCCACGGGGAGCTGCTGATCTCGAGGGGACTGGCCTTGAATTTGTGGCCTGAGCAGATGCCCTGTGCGGTCATGCGGGGCGGGACAGACTGGGCTGGGTGTGAGGTGCAGGCATTACAGATGCTGCGTCTATATGACAGACCTAGGACCCTCAGGAAGGCTATCTGGGAAGGAGGATTAGTGCTCCTGAGAACTGGAAGCCCACCTGTGCTTGTTGGTGCTCATGGCCTGTCTCCAGCAGGCTTAAGCCGTGGGCATGAGGCCAGCAGGTGGGCATGGGTGGCAGGGAAGGTCTCATCCCCAACTCCTGCCTGGCTTTGTGTTTGCTCAGATTCCAGCCTCCCGAGGGGCCCATACAATGGCTTCCTTCCAGGGTCATGGGTGAGCAAAGGCCAGCAGCAGTGATTTCCGCCGGGCCCAGCAGACCCTGCCTCCTGTCCTCCCACACCCTGACTGCCTCTCCGCTACTCAGTCTCATTTCTGAGAGACCCAGGGGAGGATGGGACAGGGGAAAAGCAGAGGCGTGTTTGAGATTTCTGGCCATCTGTCTGTCTAGCCAGACAGAATGGCTGTGGCTGAGAAGCCGGAACAAGGCTCCTTAGCAGCCCATAGAAGAGATGAGGCAGTCTCCTGGGTACCAGTCCCCAGGAGCCAAGAAGGCTTTTGGTGGGGGCTCCTGCCTAGAGGGCAAGTATTGGACTGGCCTTCTAAGCCTCTCTTAATTTAACAGAGTCAGGATTCTGGCATTTGTTTGGTTGGTATGGATTTGGAGCTGTTCTGTGCACGCTGCCTGTGTTGACTCTGTTGTAGGGAGGAACTGTACCCGCCTTTTTCAGATGCGGAATCTGAGCCTCAGAGAAGTCCGTTACCTGGTGGGGATTTCCATCCTGGACCCAGATCTCCTAAGCCCCAGTTGCTTGTGACTCACATGAGCTAGAGGGAAGGCTGCCTAGGCCCATGTCAAAGGAGCCCCCTCGAAGGATAGTAACTGAGTGGCTGCCGCAGTGCCCCCCATCTAGACTCCTATAAAAGCATTTGACACCTCACTTGCTTCCGTCTCTAAATCACAGGCTGTCAGGGCTAGACAGCCTCCCATTACCATGCCCAAGGCAATGCCCAAAACCACTCAGTGCCTCCAAAGACAAGATCACAGGGGTGTCCCTGGGCCATCACTAGGTGGGTGAAAGCTAGGTTCATAGTAGTCATAACTCCTAACAATTTGGAAATAACAGCCCAAGTGGCATTCTGCATATCACAGTAGATACGCTCATATCTGGGAGAGGCTTTCACTGGCCTAGCGTCCCAGAGTGAGGAGGTGAGAATCACTGGCTGGCAGTGAAATGCTCGTGTGCTGCCCAGTGCCCAGAGAACCTGCAGAGCAGCCGGCCTGCCCATATGCTTTGCAGAAGCCCAAGGCCTTCCCAGGCATGGAGTGGGTGGGGAGTCATGTTCAGTAGGCCAGTTTCTCAGCCTCCTCTGTCCCCCTTCCTAGGGGATGCCCACTGCCCAGATGCCAGGCCCTGGACTTGCTGCTTCACATGAGTGCGCCCCACCTCACCAGCAGCTGAGATGAACTCCTGTATAGTTGAAACCAAAGCTCAGGTTGCCCAAAACAACATGGTCAAAAAGTAGTGAAATCCATCATGATGTGCTTTGAGATCCCAGAGCAAGTCCCATCAAAAGAGAGGCGCCCACTGAGAGAGGAGAGGTAGAGCAGCCAATCAGGCAGCTCCTTCTTTATCTGTGCTTTGGGCCATCAGACCAGGATGCCCTCTTTTCCCTTAGAGGCAGGGAGGGTGCTATGGAGTACTGATTGCCTCTTGCCCCTGAGAGGGACTGATACAGTACATGGATACGAGCTCCTCGGGGGAAATCTATTTGCAGCTGGAATGCAGCAACCCTGAAATTCAGGCCTTTTTCTTTTTTTTGAGACAGGGTGTCACTACATAGTTGAGACTACCTGGAACTCATTATGTAGCCCAGGCTGGTCTAGAACTCACAGCAATCCTCCTGCCTCAGCCTCCCGAGTACTGGGATTACAGGTGTGCTCCACCACGCCCGGCTAAGTTCAGGCCTTTATATGGCTACTGTCCCCTACATGGCCTTGGTTATCTCTGTCACATCTGTTTCCGTGGACCCCTGGGTCTCATGGTTAGTGGCCCCAAGAATCTCACACATATGTATAGGAGGCACCTTAATAAAGCCTAGGTAAAGGGAGAATGGGCCACATGTGCTACCCTTTGTGCCTTAGTCCAACCGCAGAACACCAAGTGTGCCTCTGTCCTCCAGCATGTAGGACCATGGAACACCAGATAAAGGACCCCAGCCCCTCATCCACTGGGCTCTCTGGGAGCTACTTTGGTGCCAAGCAGAAAGAAGCTGGGCTTTGTGCTTAGTTTTCCCGTTTATCCCCCTTCCTCAAGAGCATCCCTGTGGTGATAGAAATGTTCTCTGCACTGTCCAATATGGCAGCTCCTCAAAACCACTGGAAATATGGCTAGTGCAGGAAAGAAACAGAACTTCTCTTTTCAATTATACAGTGACACACAGTTAGTGACCACCATGTTGGACCACATAGCACTGAAGGCTTCTGGGAAGGTGCCATCCATCAAGTGCCCAGCACACAGTAGACACTCAGCCAGGATTGGTTCCCTTTCCCAATCCCTGGGGGTATGTTCAAGGTTGGAGACAGGCCTTCTGCACCTAGGAGGGAAGAAAGTAATAACCTACAACCTGGCTCATAGAGCAGGGACTACTTTTTAAACCTGTACCTCATAATAACATTTGTTGAGTGCTAACCAAGCACCAGGCACAGTGTGAAGGACCTTACCTGTCATGCTACTTAGCTCCTGAGGCTAAGCATTGTTTTCATTTTATGGTTGAGCACACTGAGGGCCAGAAGAGAGAAGCAGCTTGCCCAAGGTCACAGAGCTAGAATGTAGCAGCACCAGGGTTTACACCTGGGTTATTTTTTCACCACCTGTTCTTCTAGGTTTGATACTGGGTGAGAAAATTTGGAGACCAGAAATGCATAACAGAGGGTCTCCTTGAAGGATCCCCACGCCCACACACCACTCCCCCATACGGACATGGTGACATGTGCCCCAGTGTACAACCAAGAAGAATCCCTGTGCACTGGTCTCCGTGGGGGAGTTGGCCGGTGTGTTCTTGTAGCTTGGCCAGTGCCTATGGGAGAAGGTGGCTCCCACACCAAGAACACTCAGGTTGTATGACCACATCCAGAACATGGACGCTGAGGTTTGATCATGGTCCCCTAAAACGACGCCCAGGACCCTGCACATCACCTCACACCATAGAAGGCTTTGGGTGTGTATCAGCTGAGCAGATAGTGTCTAGTGCTCCCTCCTGGGGACCAGGCAGGACAGTCACACCCCACTTTACAGAGGAGGAAACCAAGGCTGGAGGACATGGAGACCCACGGCAGAGCAGATTGGCCCTGCGCTCCTGAGCAGCCAGGCTGTCCGCATTTCCCTCAGCTGCTGATCCAGGACCACCAGGGAGCAGGTGGAAGGAAAATACTCAGCCTTCACACTGAGGGTTGTAAGTCATAAATACAGCAGCATCCAGGAGGAATGGGAGGAGGGAAGGATGCTGACGGCGAGGGTGTCCGCTTCCCAGATGTGTGTTCACAGACAGCCGAGTCCTGCCGGGTCCCCGGGACTGCCCGTGTGTCTGTGAGTGCCTGTCGTGAGCTGTGCCGTGTGCTAGCGTGGCACTGTGTAACTGTGTGACCACAGCATGCAGGCTGTCTCCAGCTCCCTACAGCCCCGCCAACCCGCTTCCCCCTTTTCTGTTCTCCAGCAGCCAGATGTCTCCCAGATGTTTCTCACTTCCTGCCTGGCTCCGTGCAGTGCGTGTGTGTGTTTATTTTGGACAGCCCAGTAAATAATAACCATCTTAAGAGGAGCTTTTCATAACCTCGTTCCCACGAGGAGTCAGAGTTCAGGAAATAATCCCAAGTCTATTCACTATTGTCCCTGGGCTCTCTCCTCTCTGACCTCCACCCCCCACCCTCAGGGACCACTTTTGGAAAGATTTCTCTCTCTCCTATGTGGTATGTGTTGTGTCTGTGATGCTGGCTCTTTGGCACGCTGGAGCTCAGAGATGCTGGCCCCAAAGAGCTTTGCTAGAGCCTTACCTGGAAGCTTGCTAGGACTTGGGATCCCAGACCTAAGCTAGAGGTGTCAGTGTACAGATCCCAGGGGATTCCTTCCTGCCTGCAGCTCTGCCTTGTTGCTGGTGCTGGTAGATAGAGAGGCCTGGGGGTACAGACTGAGAGGCCCTGAGCCTTGGGTGGGGGCTGGGTTTAAACTCTTCTCCGTCGGCTGGGGGAAGAGGCAGCCCAGTAGCCTCCAGTGAGGTGAGGCAAGGAGATGGATTCACCCAGAGGATACGCTTCACTCCTTCCCCCTTCCCAACACTGGCAGGCAGTAGGGCGCAGGCCAGGAGCCACACCAGCCTGGTGTGCAGCAGGGTAAAGTGATTTGGGCCCCACCTGCTTCTTGGGTTCCTCCAGTCCCTGCCCATCCCCATCTGCCCCCGAAGATGGCTGGCTCTCTCTGTCTGCGGATATTCTTGGTGCCTGGAGTCCTCTGCCCTGCAGGGCTGCCATGGAGCTTGGTTCTGTCTCTGTGTGACCTGGCCTCTAGCAAATGAACCGGGTGTGATGGCACTCTTCTGTAATCTCAGCTGCTGGAGAGGCTGAGGCACGGAGGACTGCAAGTCTGAACCCATTCTGGGCAACTTAGCAAGACAGTACCTCAAAAAAATATTTTTAAGGGCGGGATATAGTTTTGTGTGAAAACTCTGGGTTCAATCTCCAGTACCCCCACAACTACCAAAAAAAAGCTAATAGTGTTGGTGCTGCTTACCTCATGAGGGACGGGTGCATCCCCGGACTATATGACGGTTGCGTAAACCATCCAATGCCCTGTGCCTGGGGCTTAGGTCTCCCTTCTCCAGTCTCAGCAAGGAAGTGAGGATGGCCTGCAGGGAAGGCAGTAGACGGAGGCCTGGCGTGGGCACTAACCAGATGGTGACTCAAGTGGGAAACAAGGCTCCCACCTGGGGAAGATTAGAGGCACCAGTGTGTGCTTCCCCCGACAGGGGTAGAGCTGGCAGGGCCTCGTGGACAGGGTGGGGGTGAGAAGAGGGTGTACTGCAGCCCCAGAGAAGGGTAACTCTGAAGGGAAAGAAGGGACACGAAGGGGTCCCCTGCCTTGCAGAGAGAGGACGGTGAGCTTCCTTCTGAGGGGTGGCTCTGGCTCTCTAGCCAGTAATAGATGAGATCCAGTGGGATCGGGCTTAAGGTGGTGGGGGCCCCCCAGGGAGGTGGGGCTGCCTGCAGGTGCTCTGAGCTCCTCCTCTACAGAAAGTGGCCCAGGCCACTTGTCAGCAGAGTACACCCTCAGTTAGGCATCAGGGACCAGTGGAGGGCTGATTAAGCCAGTGACTGGCTAGGGGAGGAAGGAAGCGGGGAGAGAGGGGACAGAAGGGAAGGACAGACGGACATCTGGATGGGCTGGTAAATAAATGGACGGAAGGAAGGAGAAATGAGAGGTTGAAAGAGTGAGTAGAATTATCCCAGCACTGGCACAACTTGTCACACCAGCATCCGCTGACCCCACCCTTGCCCTGGAGGGAGACAGGATAAGGCTAAACTCCAGATCCAGGGGCAGCCTCCCTCAGGGCAAGTCCCTAACACTGATCTCCCTGCCTGTAGTCTGCACTCCTTTAGCCACTCCCTGTGACTGGGGACCCACCCTACCGGCTGCCCTAGACCTCCTTGGGACCCTGCCCCTGCTGCTCAAAAGCATGGGCTCCAGAAGTGTCTCAGCCCTGATTCTTTGCCCAGATTCCTGCACAGACCCAGTGAGACAGTCGATGGTCCTGATTGTCCACCAGGGACGTGTCTGGGCCCAGCTAGTTGTCCAGGAAGCTCGCCACCAGACAGTAATTGAACACCAGCTGTTTGGCAGAGGCTCTTTGAGACAGTGAGGGTAGTAAAGGTCCATCCTATCCCTGCTCCAAAGGCACCACTCCTATCTGAGGGCAAAGGTTACACACAGGTGGCAACCACTCAGGCAGCAGAGTGAATGTCCCCAGAACATCGGGGAAAGCGTCCTGGATCAGGTGTGTAAAGAGGGGGTTGGGGCCCATGGAGATGGCATTGTTCTACCTGGCCACCCCCCCCACACACACACGCTTGCGCACACAAGCAGACATGCAGGAGAGGAGAGGGATCAGCAGGCCCGGCTTTTCCTTCTGGCCCACTGTGGACCCCGCTGTTGGATAGGCCCCCAGATGTTGCACACACATCAGCTAGAGGCCTGGCCCTCTGGGCTCCCCAGACCTGACCCTCTGCACTCTAACCTGGCACCACTCCCCAGCCAGGCTGGGCTGTTTCGGAGACCTGATTCTGTCCTTTCTTCCCTGTGTGCCCCTAGAACGTGACCAGAACACGAGCAGTGACCAAACAGAACCTTTTCGTGGTTGGAGTTCTGTGCCATAGAACTAGGAGAAAGCAGGCAGCAGCTTCTGTAGCGATCAAACTGAGGGCTGAGTAGAGGCTTGCTTCCTTATCTAGTTTTACCCCAGGATGGAGGCCAAACAACGTAAGGCTGTCTGGTAATGAGAGTTTTGCTTGTGTCCTGGTGACACCCCAGGACCCAGGAGATCCATCTTAAGACCTCAGAGAAAGGAAGAAAGGATGGAGAAGTCCCTATATGACTTGCTGCTCCTTCTCCTCCTCCTAGTGGCCTTTCTTTGCCCCCTGTGTCACAGAGGGTGGCCTCAATGACACCCCCTACCACTACCCCCTTTACTAGCACTTCCTTGCTGGGCTTAGGAGATCTTCGGGAAGGGGATGTTTATATCTCCCTGGAGCCATCCAAGCACCCAGGCGCCCGTCATCAGCTCTCAGGTCCTGGTTGCAGCATTTGGGGGCTCCTTGGGTCACAGTATCTTAGGGTCTTCCTGGGTCCTGCCTCCAAGGAGCAGAAGCTGAGTGAGGCACCCCGTCCAAGCCTCGGGCGGGCAGCCTTGCCCCTGGCCCCAGCAGTGCTTACCAAGCAGGAAAGCCCTCCTGGGAGGCTGAGAAGCTAGCTGGGAGAGAGGCAGTTCATACAGAGCAGGGAGAGAAGGCAGGAAGAGGACCCCCATCCAGGAGCAGAAAGCACAGGAGGTGGGGAGGAGAGGGCTGCCTTCCCGGCCTGAGTTAGCACTTCTTTCTCTGGGTGTTAAACTCAGCTCTTCCCTTTTTCTCCTATTGCTGACTGCCTGTTAAATAATTTAAATATTTGGGCCTAAAGGGCTTCAATTATCCTTTAATTTACATTAGTAATTTATGTATTAGGCAGAATGGACACGCAGTTAGCATAACAGCCCCCAGTAGGCCACTGAGATCTGCTGTGTTCCCTGCGCCTAAGCAGCTCATCATCTTCTTTGTTGTAGAAGTGGCCTCGGTATACGTGTGTCACACAGAACTGTCACATGCTCACGTGTGCACAGGAGAGGATGTCTGAACCCATGGGGACGCTGGCACATGCACAGATGTGAAGTGCACACCTGGCCCTACCACCCTCTCCACCCCCACCTGTGCCACACTCCTGAGTCAAACAGGCCCCTGTGTACCCATGTTCTTGCATTTGTCTCAGCTGTCCTCATGGTCCCAAGCATAGCTCCTTCTGGCAAAGAGGCTGGTGGCCCCAGCATGGCATTCAGATAGGCCATTCTGTGTCCTAATTCTCTGTCCCACCTCCTGAAGCCATTCAGGAACCTGACCCCAGGGTCTAACGGTCCATGCACACATGACTGGCCATGTGCCCAGCCTGCTCACCTGCCACCGGCTGGCACCACCTGCAAACTCCACCTGGGCTTCTGAGGTGTGCTGCCCACCTGGGCCTTGGCACCAGAGCCTAGCAGCTTGGCACCAGAACTTGGCATGGTCTAAGCTCTTGCCCTGACACAGTCCCACTGTCAAAGGGAGCCCATCTGGAATTGCCAACTCCCGGCTGCTCCCCAGATCCTGGCCCAGCTACTCCAGCACCAGCTTGCAAGGGCTGAGAGCTTCCCAGGTGGTGGGGACAATAGTGACAGAGAGTGATATCCCTGCGTATGTGTTTCTGAGATTGTTCAGCTGAGATTGGCCCCAGTGCTGAAGGCCAGCAACCCTGTTCCATGCTGTCCAGGCAATCTGGAGCTGTCCCTGGGAAGTGCTTCCCAGCTGTCATTCCTTAGTACAGAGAGCCCCTGGGGTGGTCCCCAGCTCCCCCTCCTCTCCCCATCTCTCCCTCCCAGCCCACAGAGAACAAAGAGGGTGAGGCAGGCAGCACAGTAGGTAATGCAGGCATCCATTGGCGGGGGACTCGTCAAACGGGAAACTAAGGCTACAGGAGGTCAGTTCATATAGCAGAATGCCTAGCATCTTCTGGAAAGGTCCATTCCAGGATACTGGTCGTGGATCCCAGTGCCCATGGGGTCTTTTGGAGCCCACATTTCCCTCTTCTCACTCTGGTGCTCAGGGTGTGGTCCAGCTGCCTGGATGGAGTGGAGGCAGCTTGTCCCAGGCTCGGGAAAACAGCCTGTGGGAGCCAGGTGACCTTGCCCACATCCCTGTCCCCTCGAGGGACTGATGCAGCACCAGACTTCTGCTACTCCTGAGCAGCTCTGAGCAGGGCTGAGCCACCTACCTGCCTGAGGCCTCTTCCACAGGGGACCCCAGCCTGGTCCCCTAAATGCTTTTAATGAGGGTAGTTGTAGTGGAGCAAACATCAACACCCCTTTCCTAGGACCCCAAGGGTGATCCCGAACCACCAGCCATTCTGCTGAATCCAAACAGCATGCTCCCCTAAGGGTTCCATGCTCTGGCCCCTCCCGAGGCCCCCTGCCATTCCCAGCCTGCAGTCTTGGTCTCTCCCTCTTCCTCATCCAGCAGGCCAGCTGGATGACAGTTTGAGTGCTTCCGAGTGCTTCCTTGAGTCCCAGCCTCCTTCTTGACTCTGATAACTCAGCCTCCCCAGCCTGTGTAGCCTGTACCTCCAAACCTGGAGCTGCAGTCACAGAAAAGTGCATCTCAGGTGGCTGTTTGGAAAGCCTGAGGGTGGCCGTGTGATGTGTCATGTTAAGACAAATTCCAGGGCCACATCTGGACTCATTTGCAAAGGTCAACATCAATTAGCAATGCCTGCTGTGGAATGGGGTGGGGACATGGTGGCATTCATTTCAGGTATTTGCCCTCACAGATCCAAGGCCAAATTACAGAGGCTTGTTACTGCTTTACAGTGGTTTCCCAAAGGGTTGTCCGCCTCCTAGGTCCCAGCACCCCAAAGCAGATTGTAACTTCCCAAGCATATTGGAAACATTCTTCCCTAGCTCCCAGAATCTAACATGGGTCCAGAGACACAGAGACCAGGGGGATATTTATGCAAGAGGTGGGAAAATTTTAAAGAGATCACTGAGGGATGGCAAATAAGTTTCTTCTTCCCCACAACTCTGAACAAACAGTAATGCCTTCCAGGAGCCGTGCTGATCGAGACTTCCATGAGGCTCTCAGAGTGTTCCAGTCCATTAATGATGTCTGTCATGGGCTCAGCCATGGAAGAAGTTGTACTGGGCTATTGTTCTTACAGCAAGTAGGACACAGAAAAGGGGTAATCTGTCAGAAGTTACCCCACTGCTTGCTTTAATGCTTACAGAATCCTAGCTCCTGCCAGAGGATCCCTCTACAGGGGGATCAAAGCAAGAAGGCAGAGGTTTCTCCTGCATACATTCACTGCATATGTTCATACTGTATACAGTAACCTCCTCTTACACTGGAAGTTCTCATCCCACACCCCCAGTGGGTGCCCCAAACTGTGAACAGTACTGAAGCCTGTATAATTTCGGTTTTTTTCCTGTAACACACATGCCTCGATAAAGTTTAATTTATAAATTAAGCACAGTAAGACATTAACAACAATGACTGAGATTTTGATCATCTTAGCGTATGATTTTTGTTTCTTTCCTTATTGAGAACTTCCACCTTTTCACTTAAAGGATGCACTTATCAACTTCTCTTTAACATATCCAATTGTGGTTCTCCCCACTCCTGCATTTCAGGGCCATTGCTACATAGGCTAAGAGTTACTTGAACACAGACAGCACTGTGATGCCATGGCAATTTATATGGTAACTGAAACAGATACTAAGTGGCCAGCAATGGGGTAGCATATACAATGTGGATACACTGGAAATGGAATGATTCATATTTCAGACAGGATGGTGCAAGTGTTTATCACACTGCTTGAAAGGGCAGGCAATTAAAAACTTGTGCATTATTTAGTTCTGGTATTTTCTGTTTAATATCTTTGGACTGTAGTCAACATGGACAACTGAAAGCATGAAAAACAAAATCATGGATAAGGGGTCTATTGTACTCATACTGTCACTGAAACATATAAAGCCCTTATATAAATATATGTACACACACACACACACACACACACACACACATACACACACAACTTGGCCTTCTCCTCTGACAACCTCATCCTCCTTGGCCAGTCTGTGGGACCAAGAAAGCCCAGCCAGGCAGACAGTTGATGCATCTGTCTGGTTCCTGTCCTTACAGCTATAGTATTCATAAGTCTTTGTGTGGGTTTTAAACTTTTGCGTTTTATCCTTTCATATGGGAGGTGGTTGGTACAATAGAAACACTCTGTATATGGCATTTAAAGGCAAAACTGGATTTTCTCCTGGCCAGTCCTCTGGACTTGAGACTTACGGGCCATGGAGCCATCTACCTCCCCATGTACAAGAGCAGTTTTCCATTTGCTCCACAATGGGAAATGAGAACCATTGCGTCCGGAAGGTGGCCTCTATGATAACAAGCTTGCTTTTAAACACGGCAAGCACTTTAAACATCTCAAGAAGTTTCCCACACACCTGCAGGCACAGTGATTAAAACTGTAGAATATATACAGTCCCTACAAAGATCTTGAGCTCTGTCCCTGCCCGAACCCAGACACATGGCCAGAGTTGGGTAGGTGGAAGAATGAACCGAGAAATAACTCCTGTCCTGAGAGAGCCACACAGCAGCCCACACAGCCCAGGCAAGAAGAATTGGGCATGACATTTATTTTCCATCAGGATTTTTTGTCATTGCAATCCACAGACTGGGGTATATATTTCCAGCCTCTATTTCATTGCCTCCCAAATGGACCATACTTCTCCATGACAGTGCACCTTTTAAGTAGGCCAGGTTGACAATTTTGTGAAGTAAATGTGCTATGTAGTACCTCCCTTCACCCACCTCCCCAACAGAAAAATGACTCTAAATCCATGTTAAAGAAAGTGTTTTGTTTTTGTTTTTGTTTTATTACAGTATTTGTCCAAATGTCTGTGCTTTAAAATGGGGTGGGGAGCAGTTAACACACTCTTCAGTGGTATCTGAATCTTGAGTTTTAGC